AAGCTGAGGCAGGAGGGATCACAAGTTCAAAGCCAGCCTCAACTTAGCAAGGTCCTAAGCAACTTAGTGAGACCCTGTCTCTAAATAAATTTTTATCAAGGGGCTGGGTATGTGGCTCAGTGGTTAAGCATCCTTGGGTTCAGTTCCCAGTTTAAAAAAAAAAAAAAAGTGATAAAAAACCAGGAGGGATCACTTTGATTTGAGTGGTCAGATAGGCCTCTGAAGAGGTGTTAAAGTGAGTTGAGACCTTGATAGCCGGAAAATAAAATCAGGCAAGGATCTGGGGAGGAGGGGCTGAGTTTAACAGGGTTGAAGGCTAAAGAGGAGACCAGATGCTAAAGAGTGACAGGCAGGACCATGCTGGGCCTGGGAAGCCAAGAATAAGAGTTTGGATTTCATACTTTAAGCAAGAGAGAAAAATAATTAGATTTTTCTTTTCTTTTCTTTTTTTTTTTTTGGTAAAAAGATGACTCTGGGGGCTGGGTTTGTGGCTCAGTGGTAGAGCACTTGCCTAGCATGTGTGAGACACTATGTTCAATTCTCAGCACCGCATAAAAATAAATAAAGATCCATCAACAACTAATAAAAATATTTTTTAAAAAAAGATCACTTTGACAGCTATGTAGAGAACATCAGGCTATAGGAGGTGAGAGTGGGAGCAGAGAATTCCCAGAAGAGGGTGTATCCAAGTCAGAAACTGTGGAGCCTTGACCACAGGGACACTGAAGAGATGGGGGTGTGTTTGTACAGGTTGGGGATGTGGAGGTAGCCATCACTAGCCATCTCCTTATGCTCCTCACCAGCCATTCTGAACTCTGAGTTGTTTTATCCATCAGTTTCCACATTGTCCAATTTGAGAGCAGTCTCCAGGGCATGAGAGTCCAGTCTCTTTGGGCTACAGGTTCCATTGCTTCACCTTAGATCCAGTCACTTCCTGGACTATCAGAAAGTTCTTTTTTTTTTTTTTTTTTTTAATATTCGTTTATTTTTTAGTTGTTGTTGGACACAGTATCTTTACTTATTTATATGTGGTGCTGAGGATCGAACCCAGGGCCTCACTTGTGCTAGTCAAACACTCTACCGCTGAGCCACAACTCCAGCCCATCAGAAAGTTCTTCTTCCCCTTCCTGCTATAATCCTTTTCTTTTTCCCCTTAAGAGAGAGCAAAAGTGGGCCAAAACCCTGGGGTCCAGGGAGGTACTCCACTGTACATCCATCTGAGAAGCCCACTCCTGGAAAGGCCAGGATAAGAACTACAATTTAGAGTCCGGATGTGCCAGGATGAGCTGCTGTTCTATTTTTGTTTTCCTGACTATTTTCAAACCCAGCTCCACCCACCTGGCACTGTAGGAGTGCTTCTTAGACCTCCAGGCTTGGGAACCCTGCTCTCTCCAGTCTCCTCCTCTCCCATCCTCTGTCCTCTTTTCGCCTTTCTTGAACCTTCCTCTTTCCTCTTAGATCTCCTTTCCTGGGATTTAAAACTCTTGGGCATCTCAAAATCATCTGGAACATTGTTTAAAATGCAGATTCCTGGGGGCTGGGACTATAGCTCAGTGGCAGAGCACTTGCCTAGCATTCCTGAGGTACTGGGTTCAATCCTCAACACCACATTAAAAAAAAAATAAACATATGAAATAAAGGCATTGTGTCCATCTACAAGTATTAAAAAAAATTTAAAAATGCAGATTCCTGGACCTTCCCATATTCTGAATCTCCCTATTTGATTCCAGATCCATAGGATCCCACTCCTTGTAACCCCTGCCCATCCCAGGTGGGACTCTGCTGTGGGCTCAGAGGAAGCTGGGTAATCTCTGAAGGGCGGGCCTGTCTGCACTAAAGAAAAGTGAAGGGAATAAAGAAAAGCATCAAGGAAAAGATTGGAATCTGCTCAGACAGGTTCTGGGAACATGCAGTCTTTCCTCCAGGGTCTTAGTGGAGCCTAGGGGTGGAGGTGGAGTTGCCTGCAGTCTAAGGCAGGCTGTTGTTCCCTCCAGGGCTGGTTCTGATCTGCAAGGTTGCAATAATGGTTCTGCCAGGGGCTGCCACTTAGGGTTCCAATGTTGGACTCACCTCTGACTTCTGACCTCTCTGTGCAGCTCAGGTACCAGACAGTGATGAGCAGTTTGTTCCTGATTTCCATTCAGAAAACTGTGAGTAGAGGGCTTTAGGTGGAGGGAGTTGGGAAAGGGGGGGCTGGAGGGGTTGGGGGGACAGGAAATGAGTCACAGGAATATCACCTGAGACCAGTTTACTTTCTCCTAAAGAAAGGGTGAAGGTCAGGGCTCCCCATTCTTGGGTATGGACTCAAAGACCAAGGAAATAACTGGGAGATAAAGCCCTAGGTCCAAATGTGGGGTTTGTCTCCCCCTAGCCTTGTGACCTTGGAGCAGGATACTTTCTCTCTCTGATCCTGCATTTCCTTGTGTCTAAAGTGAGGGGCTCAGGCCTATTCAGTAGAACCCAGTTCTGTTGTTTTCTAAGGTTTTATACAATTCAGGTGATTTTGCCCCTCAGGAGACATTTTGCAATATAGACATTTTTTGTTTGGATGTTACTGGCATCTAGTGAATGGGTAGAGGCCAACAGTGCTTCTAGAAAAAAAAATTCTATGATGCTCAAGTTAGCCACCCACATAAATAAATAAATAAATAAATAAAAAGTCCAGCCTCGATATCAATAATGCCACCATTGAAAAATGATGCTTTGCCAGGTGCAGTGGCACATGCCTGTAATCCCAGTAACTCAGGAGGCAGGAGGATCACAAATTCAAGACCAGCCTCAGCAAATTAGCAAGGCTCTAAGCAAGTTAGTGAGATCCTGTCTCAAAATGAAAAATGAAAAGGGCTGGGGATGTGGCTCAGTGGTTAAGCACTGCTGGGTAGTTCAATCAACAGTACAAAGAAAAATAACAACAACAAACAAACAAAAAGAAAAACAGAAAAATGCTCCTTTAATGTCAGATACTTTGCTTCCAACTATCTTCACCAATGAAATGATACAGGGTGCGAAGAATGAAAAACAAGTAACAGAACCATTGATGACAGGGCCTTTGACTGGAGTGCAGTAAGCCAGGATGTCATGTACACTGGCAGCCAGGCCTGGTAGCTGGACTTAGGGAATCCAGTAAGGGCCATGCTCTTCACAGATAATTAGGAGCATGTGTATGCTTTTCAGCTGACATTCAAGAGGGCTAATATCCAACCTTAACTAGAAAGATTCTTTATAGCACCAAATAAGAAAACATGTCCCTCCCTTGGAACTTTCCAGGGCACTCAGGAAAACCAAAGGCCCTAGGTTCGAGGTGCTCCTTCCTACAAAGGGTTTTCTGGGATGAGAGCTTGCATTTATTATGTTGACATTTTAGACAGTTTCTTTGGTTAATACTGGTCATTAGGCTGATGTCTAAAACTAGATATAATGAAAACAGCCAAAATGTTCAAGTGTCTAACTACAGATCTTAGAAAATTGAGACCCAGAGAGGAGAGGAAGATGTACCAGTGACGCAGCTAGTCCTCAAAGAATAGAAGGTGTTAGAAGCCCTGTCTGCCTCTTGTGTGACATACTCTGCTCTTGTTCTGCCCTCATCCCTACCTGTGCAGTAGCTTTCCATAGCCCCACCACCAGGATCAAGAAGGAGCCCCAGAGTCCCTGCACAGATCCGGCCCTGTCCTGTAGCAGAAAGCCGCCACTTCCCTACCACCATGGCGAGCAGTGCCTTTATTCCAGGTGAGTCCCATCATGGGCACGGTGAAGGGTAGTCAAGGTGTCAGAAGGAGGGAGGAACTCCCACTTGGGGTGGAGGGCTTCAGGGAAACCACCCGCCATGAACAGAGGCAGCAGTGGATGCAAGTGACAACAGAGGGGATTTCTTAGCTCCTGTAAGGAGCAGCCCAGATAAGGACTTCCTCTAAGTAGGCAGGATGGACAATGCAAAGGATAGCTTCAGGGACATGTGTTAAGGCCAGCGCAGACTGCTTTCACTCAGAGGCCTACTATGACAAAAACACATTTGCTCTGGACTGGGGAGAGGTGTTCTTAAGATTAGGCCTGTTTCAGAATTGAGAAGAGAAAGAATTCACTTAGGGCTGAGTCCCAGTCCCTTCTGCCCTTCCTTTCCTTGTAATCCCTGTTATTTCACTTCCCTGTGAAGGATTCAAAGATGCTCACCCAGCTTCTCTTCTTTCTCATCCTGGTCTCCCCTTAGCTCCAGTGCCTATGACCCCCCCAGACAAGTCACCATCAAGTCCCCCACTCCTGGTGCCCCTGGACAATCGCCCCTGCAGCCCTTTCCCAGGGCAGAACAACGGAGTTTCCTGAGATCCTCTGGCACCTCCCAGCCCCACCCTGGCCATGGGTACCTCGGGGAGCATAGGTAAAGAAACAGATCCACTACACCTGGGGGCCCAGGCCTCACCAGTCTGTCCTCAATCCCTGAGCTCTCCATAGAGACCTGGCATGGGGGGAGAGAGGGAGGAAGGGATACTGAAGCAGGCCCTACTCCAGAGCTCACTGGTCAGGCCTGGGAGTGACAAACTGGAGGAGGGATTAACATAAGATTTTCTTCTCTTTCTTCTCCATCCAACTACATCCAGCTCCGTCTTCCAGCAGCCCCTGGATGTGTGCCACTCCTTCACATCTTCTCAGGGAGGGGGCCGGGAACCCCTCCCAGCCCCCTACCAACACCAGCTATCGGAGCCCTGCCCACCCTACCCCCAACAGAGCTTCAAGCAGGAATACCATGACCCTCTATATGAACAGGCGGGCCAGGCCATAGGCCAGGGTGGGGTCAGTGGGCACAGGTACCCAGGGGCGGGGGTGGTGATCAAACAGGAGCGGACAGACTTCACCTACGACTCAGGTAAGAGACTGTCCTGGGGAGGGACTCAGAGGAGTTTTTCTGCGATTGCCAGGTGGGGTGCCATGTGCTCAATGAGTAGTTCAGTTAAGCCCAAGTGTCTCCACAAGGTTTTTCTATTATCCAGCTCATAAGTTCAACCCACTGATTCACTTCCCTCCCCCCTCCCCCCTCCCCCCCATTCCAAAGAATTCTTTTTTTTCTTTTTTGTGGTGCTGGGGATTGAACCTAGGGCCTTGTGCATGAGAGGCAAACACTCTACCAACTGAGCTATAGCCCCAGCCCAAGAATTGTCATTTTCCAGTCAGCAAACATTCAAATAAAAAGGGGTATACAGATCTTTGTCCTCAGGTAGCTTATAACAATAGGAGAGTTAAGGTATTTATTTCTATTTGGGTTTTAGTAATCTACTTAAAAAGTAAAATACTGTACCTGGAACATGAGTGTACAGAGTTGAGGATACAAAGTTGAATAGAATGTGTCACCACTGGTCCCTGTCTCCAGCAGAAGTTTAAAAATACAAAGTGATTTGAATAAGAGAAACATGAACTAGAAACTAGTTAGGCTCTTAGTTTCCCATAGGAATGCAGGGCTAATATATGGTTTCCACATCCCACCCCACCCCCCAAAAGCTGGGTACCTGAAATAGGGACTGCTTTAAATTCTAGTTCCACCTCGCTGTTGACAGGAGTGAGATGTACTCAGCTATGTTCATAAATAGCTATAGTTCAAAGCCTCAACTACAGAGGGAAGACCATTCTCAAGAAGGGCACAGAAAACTGGCGTCTCTTCTTTCCTCCTGGTTTCTGTACTAAATTGAAGTCTATCAGCAATTTTGCATTAGAAAAAGAAGTCCAGAGATTAGGGTAGGCGCAGAGTTAGCTAAGAGCTTTAGAACTTCCCTTTTCCTGGTACCCAGTCTTTCAGGGGCAGGGAGGTGAACCACAAACCCCGCAGCTGCCCGACTGAGAACCGGATGGGTGCTCTCGTCCTCAAACACAGGGCACAGCCAGGCCTGGCTGTGAGGTAGTGGGAGGAGGAGGAGGGAGATGCTCTTGCGGCTGACCTTCAAAGGCTGTAGACCGGAGGGATCGTGTTACATGCCCTTGAACTCCCGCCCCTCCCCCGTCAGCTTCCCTGAATGGAGTCAGGAATTCCATTCACAAAATGGAGGCTTGAATGAAGCCGCCCTCCCGCCTCCTCCCGGAGGTGTCGGGTTTCAGCCTCTCATTCATAGGTGGGAGTGGAGGGGGAGGGCGGGAAGGGGTTGGAACTGGAAAGGGTGGCTTTACACAGCGGGTTCCCGAGGTGGAGTGGGGGGGTTTCAATGCTAAGGAAGGGAATTGAGTGCAAAGAGCTGTTAACCTGAAATAGCAGCCCAGTGCCCACCGCTGCTTCCCCAGATGCACGCACGCACAGGCACAGGGCTGAGAACCTGACCTGTTGACCGGACGTTTGCCGGTTCCGAGGGAATCTTAGGCGTGGACACTGAACCCTTTCTCCCCCGGAGGTTCATCTCTCACTCCCCTCCTCCCCCTGAACTCACAGGAAACAGCTGCTCCCTGGAATCTTGGGCCTTGTGGAACAGCTTGCCCAGCCCCAGCTGCTGCCATCTATGCCCTCTGCCCCAGCCCTCAAGCTGAGGGGCTCAAGCCTCGTGCTCCCTCTGGGTGAACTTCCCCTGGGATTTGGTGGTGGGCAGGCAACTGGGAAAGGAACAGTCACCGGAAAGCAGGCTGGCAGGAAGAACTTGAAAGTGTGTAGGACTTCCTCCTCCCCTCTCCCGCCAGCTGCATCCCAGCCACCTGTAACATCACCCTTTCTCCACCCCTCACAGATGTCCCTGGGTGTGCATCAATGTACCTCCACACAGAGGGCTTCTCCGGGGCCTCCCCAGGTGATGGGGCCATGGGTAAGGCAGCCCCCTCCTTCCCCTGTCAAGCCCTCAAGTTGGGGGAGGGGGCTTTGTTGGGGGGAAGCTCTCCTTAGCCAGGAGTCCCTGTGGATTATCAGTAAACTCTTAGATCTCAGCAACTCCCAACTTCCTCCACAAGGCTATGGCTATGAGAAACTTCTGCGACCATTCCCAGATGATGTCTGCGTTGTCCCTGAGAAATATGAAGGTCAGAGTGATTTCTTGGGAGGGTCAGGGTCTGATCTACATCCCCTACTGGCTGTGTCCCTGAAGAAATCACATTACATTTCATTGATGCAAGCTGGGTGACAAATGGGAAAGGGTCTGGAGAGGCCCCTTGAGGAGATACCCTGGGAGAAGGGAGGAAGTTGGCTGGGGCACCAGAAGACACAAAGCCCCCATACCTCCTATTTCTGCATTCTCCAGGAGACATCAAGCAGGAAGGAGTTGGGGCATTCCGAGAGGGGCCACCCTACCAGCGCCGGGGTGCCTTGCAGCTATGGCAGTTTCTGGTGGCCCTACTGGATGACCCAACGAATGCCCATTTCATTGCCTGGACAGGCCGGGGGATGGAGTTCAAACTAATTGAACCTGAGGAGGTGGGTATATCAGAGTGTCTCCACCCCTCCTTGCCAATGTCTTTGGAGCCTGGAGATAAGAGAATAGTGGCATGTGCCTTCACTATTACCCTCGTTCTACATAACCTGAGTTCATGAGCTGGTACTAGTTGTATGGCTGGCTTAACATTTGGCACCAAGAATATCAAGTTTTGCCTGGCACAATAGCACACACCTGTAATCCCATCAACTCAGGAGGTTGAGGCAGGAGAGATCACAAGTCTGGGGCCAGCCTGGGCAAATAAGCAAGACCCTGTTTCAAAAAATAAATAAGTCAGGAGTAGGGTTGGGGCTGTGGCTCAGCAGTAGCACACTTGCCTGGCATGTGTGAGGCACTGGGTTCAATTCTCAGCACCACATATATAAATAAATAAAATAAAGGTCTATCAACAACCAAAATTATATTAAAAAAAAAGTCAGGAGTATATCTTGAAGGTAGATTGACTCTGGATTCAACTCCTAGTACCACACACACAAAAAGAAAATTATCTCAAGTGCTCTGACACCCCACACCCCCACTTTTTCTCTGAGATAGCATCTCCACCCTAAAACTTGTCTCTTTTGTCCTCAGGTCGCCAGGCTCTGGGGCATCCAGAAGAACCGGCCAGCCATGAATTACGACAAGCTGAGCCGCTCACTGCGATACTATTATGAGAAAGGCATCATGCAGAAGGTGGGGAAGAGGGCAGAGAGTCCAAAGACAAGGGGTAGGGGCAGTGACTGTGGGGAGGTGACAGCAAAGGGGCAAGGAGAGCATTTTTCAGCAAGTCTGTAAGAGGAGAAAGTGAACTTCTGAAGGGAATCTGCACGGGAGGGAAAGGTTCCCACACTTCTACCTGGACATGAAGAAGGGCTCTGTCCCCCAGTCCTATCTTGAGGTTGGGTATACCTCGACTGACTGACCTAGCTTCTCTCTCCCCTTAGGTGGCTGGTGAGCGATATGTATACAAATTTGTGTGTGAGCCTGAGGCCCTATTCTCTCTGGCCTTCCCGGACAATCAGCGTCCAGCTCTGAAAGCTGAATTTGACCGGCCAATCAGTGAAGAGGACACAGTCCCTTTGTCCCACTTGGATGAGAGCCCTGCCTACCTCCCAGAGCTGGCTGGCCCTGCCCAGCCCTTTGGCCCCAAGGGTGGCTACTCTTACTAGCCACCAACAACTTCTCCCTCCATTAGGGGTGGGTGCTGCCCTGTGTACATATCAATGAATTTGGTGAAGGCCTCATTCTGAAACCCACAGACGTCTCTGGGGCAGATCCCTGCTATCCCATCAGCTGCCCTGGCCCATAGAGTTGCTCACCAGAGTCTTTGGGAAGCGAAAGTAGAAAAAGGGCAAATCTAAAGGTGGAATCTCAGAAGCTCCCCGCTGGGAGGGGGTCACGACCATCCTCAGGAGTTCAGGTCAGCCTCTTCCTAAGTCCTACTTGGAGGCCTAAACCCTGTTTCCCTTCCCTACCAAGTGATTGTTCTGTTTCAGGGGACAGAGAAGGAACTTCCCAACTTTATCCTGGCAGGCTAGCCAGGAAGTTCACTTGAGCTCCCCAGTTCTTACATTATGGGGAGACAGAAGCCTAGACTCTACACCGCCCTAAGCTGTGGCCCTGGAGAACTTGGGATGCCCGTTCTTGGTGCTCTCCTCCCGTAGGCAGGAACCTGGGATGGGGATACTGGACAGAGGTGGGGGGGATGGGTTCCTAGGGGCTCTTTGCCTCTCCTCTGCCTTTTCCTAGGCCCACCCAGGCTTGGGATTCCACCTCCACCTCATCTGCCAGACCTTAATAAAGGCCCCTACTGTTAGTTCTGCTTGCTCTTTGCTGCCTTGGGCATGGACCTGGAAGAGAAAGATCTGGACTTGGGGCAGATAACTGAAGTTTGGGGCCTGTCCCTGACACTTAATTTCCTATGCTGATTTGGAAAAAAAGTAGTTCACTTCTGACTTTAGCTTTCCTCTGAAAAATGGGCTTCACAATACCTGCTTTTTCCTCTCCCAGAATTATTATTCAAGGACCCAGAAACAACTGATAAGACATACTTTGTTAAAAAAAAAAAAAGACATACTTTGTAATCTAGGTGGGGCCCCCTTGGCCACTGAAGCATGGTTCCTGCAACGGTATTTATGCCCCTGGGGAAGGGGCAGGTGGGATCCTGAGCTGCAAGGCCTTCCCTCTGGGGACTTAGGCAAAGACAGATCTGCAGTTTCTGTGATCACAGTTGCTCCCATGACTGGATGTACCCCAAATTGTACATCCTGCCTCAGCTCCAAATTGCTATTTTTGCTAGAATTGGAGATAAGTGTTGTCTGGAAAATGAACCAAAGGAGAAAGGCACCTAGGCAAGTGAGTTCTGGGGGAGGCTAGAGCAGGCAAGTGAAGGAGACTTATCTTCCAGGGACTGGGCAGTGGGAAACAGCAGATTCTCCTTGTAAATTTGGGAGAGACAAGAGTCCTGAGGGTGGGTAGAAAAGTAACACAGAAGCATGTGACTAAGGAGCTATGACAGGAGGAGTAGCTGAGATGGAGCAGGGTAGAATGGATGTTTCTAGAGCCAGCCCCTCTATCAAGAGCTTCCAGGAAAAGGGCTGAGGTAAAACCAGGAGCCTCCTGTTCAATCAGAACTGCAGCTATGCTGAGGTGGGGCCAGCCCAGCACTACTAATGCCTGTGCTGCTTATGCTGGCAGCTTCCAGCCCGCACAACCCAACAATGGAGTGCTAGCAGGAAGGAATGCCTCTCAACCATTACCCACAAATAAAAAGCAGCATTTTTTCCTAGAAACACAAAAAAATCAATGTATTGAACAAGAAAATTATTTTTAAACCAGTTTAAAAATATACATTTAATTCCACATTAAAGCCAGGCTATCATGGTGGAAAGAAGGTATTAAAAATCAGGTAGAAACCCGGAGGGCTGGTGCACTTCAGAGGATTTAGATGAGAAGCAGTTTTTAGAGATAGGTCTCCACTGGCTGCGACATTTTGTCTTCTGGACTGTTCATTAACAGGCTGTGCTTCAGAGCTTTGTTTAAATTCTTAAATGTGGAGGAGAACTGCTCCAATGAGATAGTGACAGCATCCACTGGGAGGAAATTCTTTGGGTTGCAGGAGGGACAGCCAAAATGTGCTCCAGACTGGATGAAGCAAACCCAGACCAGCAGCAGAGCTTACCTGCACCCCATCAGGTCAGCCCCACATACACAAACACAAGCTGAGACTTAGCACATGTGCAGGGCCAGGAAACTCTGAGCTAGGCTCCTGCTGAGTTGGGGTGAACTATATACTTTAATGGCCAAGAAGATTCCAACTCTCTGCCTGAGACCCACATCCTCTCCTGGGCTGTCACTCAATCTTGGGAAATACTGGTTCAAGAAAGAGAAACAAGGATCCCATTGTGAGAGCAGTAGGCCAGCTCTACTTCTGAATCTAGACAGGAGTCCCCTTCACCCTTTGAGCAGCCTCAGCTCTGCTGTCAACATGGTTATTCTGATGGGCAGTCAAAAGGTTAGACCCCTGCCTTACTGTCAAAGGAGAGAATTCTAGTTTAGAATTGATCAAAGTATACCCACACAGTTGGGCTCCTTCTTGCAGAAGGTAGGATGACCAGCCCTGCCATCACTTACCCTTGGCCTGTTACCCATCCCTTTTCAATCTCAGCTTAAAACCCAGACTTCTCCTTAGGCACCAATAATGTCAGTGCCAGTAGGCACCTGGGATGGGCAGAGCCACCAGGCCCAGGAGTTGCTCCAGAATGGGAGATCTAGGCTAGAATTAAGACTGGGGAACTAACAATGGGCCCTGCTTCCCTTTAGGTTACATCTGTTGTTTCCTGTACTGTCTCTCCCATAAGGCCTTACAGGGTGACACATCATGCCCTGTTCCTTGATTACTGGCCTGGCCTCACTAAGAAGCACACTCCAACAGAACTGGGAGGTGCTCACTCAGCTTAATGAAGGGGCAGGGATCTGCAGTCAGCACCCTCCCTGGCCTATATTCTTCTCCCTTGAAATCTCTGTGAACTGTGTCTTTAGAGTGGTTTATTTGCTGCCCAGTGACAACACACATTCCTTTATATTCCAGAACGTCATATAGTCTCGTTCAGTGTTTGACATACAATTCTGCAGTTCTCGTATTGACCTATTTCGGGAATTTACTAATACAGGGCTGTGAGAGACAGTGGGAGCAATACCATGATACAGGATGTACCCAAGCTTCTCCACAAGCCCCACATCCTACCCCAGCAGGACCTGCCTGCTCCTCCTCCAGGTAAAAAGCATCCTGAGTTGCTGTGAGGGGCTCTAGGAAGTGGCCATTTCCTAAAACCACTAAGAACAAGCCCTGAGCACAGATGCTGGGCTCAGAGAGGTGGTATCTGTTTTCTGCTTGGGATCGGGGAAGAGAGGCTATAATCATAAAATCCCTTTGTTAAAGACCATCAAGAACCTCAGGGCAAAAAATAAAAACAAAATAAAATACAAGTTGTGTCAGTACTTGGCATGTTTCAAAAGGAAATGGGACACACTGTGCATTGTTTGAGCATGGCAGGGGAGGGGGGGAGGGAGGGAGGAAAGGAGAGCCTTCTATGTTCAATATGTGGCATCTGTAACCACTCAGGCGCCAGATTCAAGTGCTTTGTGGAATGGATGTGGTTAATCACCAGGCCATCCACTGGCAAAGCTGGGCCAGGACCCATTCCGAAAAACAAGGCTGGAGGTCTGGGTTGTGCATTAGGTTCGAAAGAGACCCTGGGCTTTAATTCCAGGGTATTCTCCACCGCGTACATCACAAATGCTAAATCTCCCTCACCCTGAACCCAGGCCAGTTTCTTAACCTTTCAGCTAAAAGAAACAATCACAGAAAACCTTATTTCCTTAAGAAAATAAATATTTCCAGAAGGTTAAGCCAGAGTACAGGAGCTGGGGAGGAGGCAGGCAGTGAGGTCGACACTGTAGATGAGCATTATGGCTCCCTCTTCTAGGGAGCATCAGCTGGGGCATTAGGGTCCTCTGTAGCTGTGGCATGTATCAGACATTCATTCATTCCCTTTTCCCATTTCAAGGCTGAACAAGTTGTCCCTTTCTTGAAGATGATGCATTGTGTGCTATGCTGGGTATAAGCCCCTGACTCTCTGGCCCCAAGACTTGGGAGTGGATGGGGGCTAGAGGATCCAGCCAACGCCAGACTTAAATCCTGGTTTCTATCTTACCACCAAGAAAGAAATGAAAGTCAAGTTTAGCAAATGCAGTCACAGGACAGCTGTACATTCAGGACCAGTTTTTCATTGGTAAGAGAAAGTCCAAGTCCTGGGCCACTGCTATAGAAGAGGCAAATAGACAAGCTTGCCTGTCAGCGCCGCCGGAAGGCCCGGGATATTCTCCAAGCATTGGGCTCCTCATAACGGTTGTACAACGGTTCAAGACGCTGCTGCTTCTTCTGCTTGCTTAGTTTGGTTGGGTCAGAGACCTTGAAGAAGGCTGGGGCAAACTCCACAAGCCACCGGGGATCAATAGTGGTGACCTCACGCATGTACTCTTTCGTGGTCAGCACCAACTCATGGTACACCACCCTGCAGGCAACAGAGACAAGACACAAGCCTAAGATCAGGCCTCCTTCGACAGCCAACCTGGTCAGCAGAGCTGGCATTTTGTCATGTTACCTCTCCTGCCTAACCCCTTAGAAGACTGCAGTCTGTTTATGACAGCCACAACCCAATACTAGGAGCCTGTACTCCTCAAACACAAGTAAGATTACAGGATAATGTGTTATAGTTCTGGCTCTGGTCTAAAATAGTTAAGTACCTAGAACCTCTCATGTCTCTTCTCTAGATCTGCTCTTGCTCTGGAAAATGGAAGGGTGGTTTTCCAGACTGTTTCCACAGAATTCTAGGGTCCTGAAGAGGCACCTCATAAACTAGCATAAGAATGTGAAAGGCCAAGCAGGCAAGGCTCCAACTCTTCTTTCTTCTACTGTGGTGGCACAGAATCACACCAATACCACATAGTACGTTTCTGCTTTTGTTTGTTATAATGGGAATTGAACCCAGGGTGCTTTATTACTCAGCTACATACCTAGCACTTTTTATTTTTTGAGACAGGGTCTTGTAAGTTGCTGAGGACCTCACTAAATTATTGAGGCTGGTCTTGAACTTGCAATCCTCCTGCCTCAGTTCCTGAGTTCCCAGGATTACAGACATGCAATACTGTACTAGGCAGCATGGTGGTTTAAAATTAGTTTTGTAATAAGAGTCCAATTTTAATGGCCATACTACGAAAGGCATTATATAGATTTAATGCAATTCCTATTAAAATCCCAATGACATTCTTGATAGAAACAGAAAAAGCAATCATGACATTTATTTGGAAAAAATAGGAGACCCAGAATAGCTAAAGCAATCCTTAGGAAGAAAAGTGAAGCAGGAGGCATCACAATACCAAACCTTAAACTATACTACAGAGCTATACCAACAAAAACTGCATGGTATTGGCACCAAAACAGACTTGTAGACCAATGGTACAGAATAGAGGACACAGAGATAAACCCACATAAATATGGTTATCTCATACTAGACAAGGATGCCAAAAACATTCACTGGAGAAAAGATAACCTATTCAGGGCTGGGGATGTGGCTCAAGGGGTAGCGCGCTTGCCAGGCATGCGTGTGGCCCAGGTTCGATCCTCAGCACCACATACAAACAAAAGATGTTGTGTCTGCCGAAAACTAAAAAATAAATATTAAAAATTCTCTCTTTCTCTCTCTCTCACTCTCTTTAAAAAAAAAGAAAAAGAAAAAGAAAAGATAGCCTATT